ACATAGAGCACGATCTATGCGAAAAACCAACACAGCTAATGCAACGACTACACATCTTCAGATCTCAATGGCGGATGAATATAGGGCGAAATCACGCTTCGTTTGCGGGCCTGCAAACAGAAATACGACATAGTGTTAGACCTAGGTTAGTAGTTGGTGATTGTTCCCTACCTCACTGACCTACTGCCCGCAGGCCTTGAATTGAACTGATAACATTGCCATGAACAAGATTGACAACTACTGAGTCCCGATAAAATCCCTGCAAAATAAAAAAATGTATATATATCTCGAGGCAGCCACTGGCCCTGCAACGATCTTGGTACCACACAGAAAAAGACAGCTAAACGTTAGCGTTAGAGGCTGGATAATATATAACTCGAAACGAGCATGGAGAAGAAGCTAGGACGATTAAACAGAGTTGCAAGCGGAGGAAAGAGAGACCGAAGGTCCTCCCGCATGTAGAGAGCGTGATGACGATCTGTGTATTGGGTGGATGAAGCGGAAACATCAAGTAACTGATTAAAGTGGCACGGTGCAGCGCAGTTTAATACATGAGAAAATATATCTGCGTTCATTTCGGGAAGAAAAAGAGGGAAACGAGAACAGAAGAAGCCTAACCCGTGCAAATAAATGACAGGTGAGGATCACAACAGGAGTGATGAGAATCGTGGCTAAAAAAATTCACGCTTTCAGCGCAGAACACGGCGCTTCCGTTGCCGCGCAACGCGCTTTACGTCGCACCGTTCGTAGGTAGACGGGTGCTGAGTCCGCGGCGATTCGCGCGCAGAACATCCTCCGCGTGGGGAGATGAAGTCGATGAGCTGTATATAGGACGGGAGGTACAGATGCAGAAAGGGACAGATGGAGAAAAGAAGGGGACAGATGCAGGCTGAGACGGTATATCTAGACAGATAGTAGCTTGAATAGATACTTCCTATACTAGTTTATTACATACACACAAGGAAGAGCATACGGAAAACGCTAGTTGATGCGTGAGGATTACTCAGAGGCACAAGCTGCAAGCTGGACTGGAAGAAGCTGGGAAAGTTGAGTGAACAATGAGCTACGCAACTAGCGTGTTGTGTGAATTCGAAAGAGAGATGCTTCTAGAGCTCCAAAGTGTGATGATGTGTCTTCAAGGATGCCGTAGCTTTATGGTACTAGCCTACATCGCACCAGTAATTGGTTAGTAAAAAAACATGAAGGTGAGGATATCTCAATTCCGGTTACCTAAGCTGTGATCCGGGGAAGCCACGTCACTCACACTGAATCTAAAACACTTAATTTGATTGGGCGTGACATAGAACTGTATGCCAGCTGCTAGTTTTGATTCTGGGTTGTGCCTTCGCGAGCCTCGTTTGAGTTTTGTATCCCTGTTACTGTGCTCGCAACGTTCGACAATGCCTGGGTGATTCGTGTGCTTACTAGTGTTCATCAATCATACACCAGCAAGGGAGACTCCCGAGATTTGGTCGTGACCAGGTGTACTATTCGGTGAAGGTGTTTCAAAACTGATGTGTGAAATTCGCGGCTCGGGTAACCCACGTATACAAAATTCGCGCCCCGGCTGACCCACGTAGCCAAAATCCACGGCTCGGAAGCCAGCTTGTATCCGAAATTGGTGCATGTTGCGGTTTTCACTCAGTGCTTTTCGGATACTTTTCAGGTAGGTTTCTGCAACTTTCCTGCAGCCTTCAGACTTAAACTCGATTTTGAGCCAAACCCTTTTCCGCGATGTTGCTTTCGCTTCCTTCAGCAACAGCAGTAGCTGGGGCATGCTTTTGATTCTGACTCAACTAAAGTAACCCGAATTTCACCCTCCTTTCGAGTGGCCCGCAGGTTTCTATTCGTGTAATAAAGACGTATATACTTGGAGGAGGGTGGGGTGCCCCGACGGAATTTCGAGTGCCAAGTGCGACAACATGATCACGTCATATGAGAAAGATTGCGTGCGTCGTAAGTATCTGCCACCCTCGGGACCATAATGATGACATGATGATGACGCAATGATGACACGATGATGACATGATGATGACACGGCGATGACACGATGACATGATGATGACTCCATGAGGTCATCACGTAAACCAGGATGATCCTCCGTGGCCTTTGCTGCTATGGTATGACACTCCAGTTCATTCTTATGGTATCATATTCTGCTACAAGTGCAGCTATCTACATATCCTGTATAGTTATTACATTCAACTCCACATCATGAGTTCCCGGTCCCCATGTCATTACATCTCCTTACTCACCATGGCATCACAAACCGTTTACTAGCCCATGCCATTTCCTCGCATCCTGCGTGGTCCCCAACGTTTGTGCCCTTTTCAGTCACCTGGGAAGACGTCGGCAACAAGATCTGGTGGTCACTGAACAAACCGCGTGGTGGGCACTGGACAAACCGCCTCACTAGCTCCAGCCGGCTGACCCTCTCTGAACCATCTCGGTTTGCACATGTATCCTGAGAATAAAGGCCTGCCGTGTTGCTCGTCGAAGCTTCTGTGGTGACTCGTGTGAGCGGTCCTGACTCACAAGCTCGTTGCATCCATCATCCTTAGTTCACATCGTAGTTGTGCGTGCCCCTTGTATGAAAATGTTTGTAAGGTGATTACGGTATTTGTACAAGTTGTCGTGATTACGGAAGCTACCATCAGTGTGCAATAGCCATGCATTTCCAAATAGCGTCATGCTGATATGCACAACCACGCGAACTCATCCCCTCGTGAACAGAACAGGCATGATGAAGCATCATCTGCCAGAATTGCAATGATGAAGCATCATCTGCCAGAATTGCAACGATGAAGCATCATCTGCCAGAATTGCAATGATGAAGCATCATCTGCCAGAATTGCGATGATGAAGCATCATCTGCCAGAATTGCTCAGTCAACTCATTCTGTCTCAAAAAATGCATCCAACCCTTGACTCGTCTTGACTCATTCATAACATCCGCTCCACTAAAGGAATAGCTTGGGCATTTTCCTATTTCCTCCTGCCCTTTCACCACGATTCCTTGCTTTTTTTTTTGAAACTACCTTTGCTTCTCCAGTTATTTTGCCTCTGCACTTGCCTTCCTCTGGCCGCATGCAGCTTGTGTAGGAGCACCAATCTAGCTATGACACGTTTCACTCAGAGAAGCTGTTGAATTTATGCCAACACATTGCTAAGGTGTGTATCGCCTCCCCCCTCCCTCCCTCCCTCCCTCCCTCCCTCCCTCCCTCCCTCCCTCCCTCCCTCCCTCCCTCCCTCCCTCCCTCCCTCCCTCGCTCCCTCCCTCGCTCCCTCCCTCTCTCCCTCCCTCCCTCCCTCCCTCCCTCCCTCCCTCCCTCCCTCCCTCCCTCCCTCCCTCCCTCCCTGCCTCCCTCCCTCCCTCCCTCCCTCCCTTCTTCCGCGCTCCCTCCCTCCCTACCTGCCTGCCTCCTCCCTCCCTCCCTACCTGCCTGCCTCCTCCCTCCCTCCTTGCTTGTCTGCCTCCCTGACTCCTCGCATCCCTTCTTACCTGCCTCCCTGACTGCTTGCCTTCCTGCCTGCCTGCCTGCATTCGTGCGTGCCTGTCTGCCTCCCTCCTTCCTTGCTTTCCTGCCTCCCCGCCTCCCTGCCTCCCGGCCTACCTGCCTGTCCCCTGCCTACCTGCCTGCCTGCATTCCTGCTCACCGACAGCCAGGTGTGAAATCCCCACCTGCCTTCCTTCTTGCATGCATGGTGATTGCGCTACTCAGAAGGTGAGAACCAGTGTGGGCCGTGGCGCTTACTACTGTCCCAGTGAACCTCGCTCATGTCATGTTCATTAGATGTATAGTGCAAGCAGTATGCATAGCTGCATTGTGATTGCTTGCCCTTGCCAAATTCACTCGGGCTCGTGAAGTGTTGAAGGATTTATTGTGGGCTGCGTTGGCGGTTTCATTAACTTTCTATTGAGACTACCTTTTTCGTTCTGTCTGACAGTGTTGGCCTCTGGTTGCGGGGCACTCACAATAAAAAACATTTTCTGCCATCCTTCCATGATTTATATTGAAAAGTCTATAATGGAGCTACCTCCATTGCTCTTCCCGTCATACAGTTATAATCATTTAAATACATGTCATTCAGTTTATGATTCTCTATCCCCGTGTTGTTGCATTTATTAAGCTTTGGTTTATTGTGTAACGGGCCAGAATGACGTCACCGTTTGTCCTTGTGAAAAATATTTGCGCAATCAGATTGCGAATATATTCCCCCACTCTCCTTTCCCCAATTCCCTTCATCACCTCGCACCTGCCTGCGGGATCATTCCTCCCTCCTTTCCATCTCTCTTTGAGATGGCATTTAAGAGAGAGAGAGAGAGAGAGAGAGAGAGAGAGAGAGAGAGAGAGAGAGAGAGAGAGAGAGAGGATTAACCTCTTCCCCTCTCCCCCCCTCTGCCTTCTACCCCCAGCCATGGGTACTTAAGGCCTCGGTTGCCTCTCTACTCTCATTCATTCAGCTCATTAAGAAATTTTCCGGCACTTTGCACTGGCAAGACAAGAAAACGCATGACGGTAGGTAGGCAAACGGTTACAAGGATGGCAAGCAAGGACAACTAGACACGACAGCAGGGAATGGGTCTACACGCTCGCGAGGGGGGCGCCTACATGCGGTTAGCCTCAAGCTCACCAAGCATTTTGCGCGTGGTCGACCACATCAAGCGGACCACTGGTACGGTGGCGCCGACAACGTCAACAGGAGTTCCGCGAGTTGCTACAAGCGTCCTCAGATCCAGGGCCTTCTCAGCCAGCTAGATGGCCGAGACTACTCCTGGCAAGGCCGCAACCTGTAGTGGCGATACATACGAGAATAGCGCTGACGCTGCCGCGTGACACCTTGCTCGTGGCATCTGAGAGAACGTGCTCGGTGGGGTCTCCAACATGGAGCCATGCGACTCCTAAAGAATCACTTCAAGACTTTGCAGGCACTCCGCCAGCGACCATAACTGCGCCAGGGTCGTCGTGGGCACTTCCTTCTTCACCGGAAGCATTGCAGATGCGCGAGCCCGGCGAGACGACACCGCAAGATCACGCGGAGGAGGAGCAGGGTGCGGCGGAACGAAGTGAGCCCAGGGGTCCCCACCACCCGCGCCCACAAAGCCAGCCCTCGCAGGCAGCAGACGGTCGGGACGCACAAGAGACCCCACTGGGTCGTGCGGCAGGAGAGCAGCGAGGGGAGCGGCAGACGCAGCTGGAGGCGCGGTGTGTGGCGATGACTCCACGTTCAAACGATGGAGCGCCTTCTCCACGCCGTCCGGCTTCTGAAGGAGATGCTCCATTACGGACGATGATTGACGCGCTGTCCTGCCACGGCCATAGCCGCCCTGTCGCCTACGTCGCCCACGGCCACTTGCGGTCGAGCGCACCGGCGATTGCTGGCGAGATGGGATCCGCTGGCGCTGGCGGTCAGGAGATCGCCCCCTGTGACGAGGACAGTAGAGCCGCTGGCGCTTTGACGGCCGCGGCGAATGCGCACACGGGTCTGATGGCGAGAGGCGTGGGGAGCGGGCGATCGGTGACGTGTCGAATGGCGACCGGGCGAATGGTGACGACGCGACCGGCGGTCTCGAGACTGGCTCCTCAATGCCACGCGGCGAGGTGAACGTGGCGAGCAGGGCGAATGCGGCGCCCGAGGTGATTGAGGCTCGGCGTGACGCACATGGCGAAGCTGTCGTACGACCTCCCCTTGACTTATTGCTTGGACGCCGGCTTCTCACACCCACAACTTCGGAGCAAAACCAGGGTGCGGCAAGGAGATCCCCTCGGTTCGCAGCTGTTTGCTGCCGCTATACACCCTGTGCTGACGAGCACGGCGCTCGCTTTCCGTCCGTGGTCTGCTTGGCATATGCGGACGACGTTACCTTTCTTGGGGGAAGCGGCTATGTGTGCAGCGGCGTTCGAGTATTTCACGGGAAGTCTCGGGGGGATTGGGCTGAGCCATAACCCAGCCAAATGCACGGCATGGTCCCAGATGGGCCAGCAGGGAGCAGCACTACCTCAGGGCGTACCCTTCACCGGTGATGGGGTGAAGGTGCTTGGCAGTTTCATCAGAGGCAACAACACCACAACCGCGTTCTTACGCGAGAGCCTTGACACAATGGGCGGCCCACTACCCTTAATCGCTTGGATGGAGCTGCAGCTGGCATCCCTACTTCTTACTACACCAATCTCTCCCCTGCCAGTTGAGGAATGGTCAGACTGGGGTAAAAAGTTGTTTGAGACATTGTTGATGGCTTGCGGCATCCGTCACCCATGGGGGGAGGCCGAGATCACACGCACCTAGGTCCAAGCATCGCTCCTGATCTCGCTTGGAAGCTTGGGTCTTGCAGACCCCTTGGTGGAAGGGTGTGTTGGGTTCCTCGCAAGCTACACGCAAGCACAGCACTTGCTTACCTCCATCGACGAGTCAGCAGTTGGCGCCTTGGCAGAAACAAGGGTCCAAATGGTTGGACCCTTCCTCAACACGTCCCCCTTTTTCACTTGCTAGAGAAGTGCGAGGAGTCGCTGCCGGACGACGGGAAGGAGCTGCTGCAAAGCGACCGCACTGATCCCAAGGGCATCAAGTTGCAGCAGGGCTGGCAAGTGCAAGCCACACGCATCATGCCTCTAAATCCCCTTAGCGGCCACACGCAGTGCATGCTCTCCCTCTCGGGATACGGGGCGGGGGACTGGCTCAACGCGGTCCCCTTCAACACGACACTGCACCTTGCTCCAACCCACTTTGCTCACGCACTCCAGTTTTGGTTGGGGCTCCCTTCCTCGGCACCTGGTGCCTGTGATTACCGCAATGAGACGTCAATCCCAGACAGGAGGCTGCCCAACCACCTACTTTGCTGCGATACCGGGAAGGGCAGGACCAACACTCACAATGAGCTGCGCGACGAGTGTTGGACCTGCCCTTCCCGGTGTCGGAGCGAAGTAGGTGGTTGGGCAACGACGCGGATTTTATGACTCACGGCAAAACGACTGCATTCTACCCCGTCACTAGGAAGAAGGCCAACATAGCGATCCGGGACAAGTCTTCAGGGGCTGTTTGGATAGGGGATGTGACCGTCACAGACCCCATTAGCACACGTGACCCCAACGCGGTCAAGGGCAGGGGGTGGGCAGCCCTCCCGCGGTCTCTTCTTGCTCACATGCTTGCGTGTTCCTAAATCTGCTTACCTGGTGGCCTTCTTGCTGGTTTTCTCTCTGCTTGGTGGCTACCTCGTCTGTCTGCTACTGTGCTATCTGTGCAGTGTCAAAATTTATATATGTAACTGCCTGTAGCTGTAGTTAGTGTAGTTATTACAAACCTTGTTAGGTGGTGCACCTTCCTTGTTCACATGCTATATGTTCTTGCAAACCTATAGTGAACACCCCATTTTCCCGTTTGGTGGTGCACCTCATTACCCTAGTTCTTGCCTATATCTTTGTACCTTTGCTCTTTATTGAACCACTCTTCCCTCTTGCTACTCTCGACACCCTCACCTAGTTTCCTAGGTTCTAAGGAAATTTTGACATGGTATTAGAGCGACCACGGTTCTTACATGTGGACCCGCCCCATTGCTTCCGCTGCTACTCTGTGTTCGGCACGCCCCGTGGCGTGCCCCTTAACCTTTTCTTAGCGGCCCCGTTGCCGCCCTTTCAGGCCCCTCGCGGCCCCTTCGCGGCCCCGTCGCCGCCCTTCCGCGGCCCCGTCGCCGCCTCTTTCAGCGGCCCCGTCGCCGCCCTTTCAGCGGCCCCGTCGTCGCCCGCCCTTTAGCAGGCCCCGCTATGGCCCCGCTCCGGCCCCGCTTCGGCCCCGCTATGGCCCCGTCACCCACCTGCGGCCCCGTCGCCCACCACGGCCCCGTCGCCACCTGTGGCCCCGCCACCTGCGGTCCCGTCGCCACCTGCGGCCCCGTCGCCCATTTCGGCCCCGATGCCACCTGCGGCCCCGCCCACTTGCGGCCCCGACCCCGCCCCGGCCATGCCCTGTCGCCAGCCGCGGCACACCGGGGGCACGTGCACCGCCCCCCCCCCCCTTTTTCCCGTCACCCGTCGCGGCTCTTTCGGGGGCCGCGACCTGGAAGGCGTGGGAAGGCGTCGCCCCCTCTGCCGCCTGCTTTGGCGCCCGGGGAGGCCGTGTGTCCTGCTGTGGGGGGGAGGGTGAAGGCGTGGCGGAAGGGACTCTGCAACGCTAGCCGCTGCCCACCTCCTCTGCTCTCTCCCTGCAGTGCCAGTCGCTGTGGGGGGGGAGGGTGAGGGGGTGGTGGGAGCGTGGCTTCAGCACCAGCCGCAGCCGCCTCCTCATTCCTCCTCTCTCCCTTCTGTTCTCTGTTTTCTGCGTTCTCTCGGCTCCTCCTCCTGCAGCCAGGCATCTGCTGCTGCCGCCCGCTGCTACTGTGGCACCTCCAGCTGTCGCCCTTGTTGCCACCTGCCCTGTTTTTTGTTTTCTGCTGCTGGGGCCTGCAGGTGCTGCCGTCGAGCCGCTGCTGTCCTGCTGCACGTTGCAGCCACAGAGCCTGCTCCTCAGGCGACCTGCCGCCCCTACACTATCTACTTTTTCTGCTTTGTGTTTCTGCTTTGGCTCAGGGTTGCTACAGCTGAATCTACTACCACTGCACTGGTTGTTACTGCTCTTGCCCATTGCAGCTACTTCCGCTGCACTCTGCATGGTGTACCCTCTTTAGGGGGCGTTACTACACTCACACCTGCAAACAATTATGGGGGTGTGTCGAAATATGTTATTCATATTTATAAAATTGTCTGTAGTGTTAGTGTAGTTATGTTTCCCGTTTGGTGGTGCACCTCATTACCCTAGTTCTTGCCTATATCTTTGTACCTTTGCTCTTTATTGAACCACTATTCCCTCTCGCTACTCTCGACACCCTCACCTAGTTTCCTAGGTTCTAAGCAAATTTTGCCATGCAGAACTATCAGTCTGGAAGCTGGTAGTAGATTGCTTGTATGCCTGGGAATATCTAGCACCTGCCCCTACCATGCATGTATCCTTATAAACCCATTCTGACAGGGAAACTGCCATCCCCAGTCGCCAGGCTCCTCACGGCGTCTCGCCTACTGGCTCTCTCCAAACCAGACGGAGGGACAAGGCCGATTGCTATTGGTGAAAGCATCACCAGACTCGCCGCCAAAACAGCTCTGATGTTGACAGCAGGCGCATCAAGAAAATTCTTCATGCCACACCAGTTCGGCGTGGCAGTGCCTGGGGGAGCGGAGGCGGTTATCCACATCACCCGCGCCTACCTGTCTGAAAATCCTTTTGCACTAGTCCTCTAGGTAGACCTAGCCAACGCCTTCAACAGTGTCAACAGAGCCGCAATAGCATCCGCGCTAGACAACTCGGCTCTAGCACCACTACTACCATTAGTACAACTCACCTACGGGGCCCCATCACCGCTCTACCTGGACGAGGGCTTCAAGCATGAGCCCCTGCTAAGCATGACGGGAGTTCGGCAGGGAGACCCTCTTGGGCCACTGCTGTTTGCAGCTGCAATCAATCCCGCGCTACAAGCTACAGCCCAAGCCTTCCCTACTGTAGCCTGCCTAGCGTACGCAGACGACGTCACCTTCCTAGGGGAGCAATCTACCTGTGTAGCAGCGTTTCAGCACTTCACAGAGAGCCTCATGCCAATTGGCCTGCATCATAACCCATCTAAGTGCGCGGCCTGGTCACAGTCAGGCATCCCCACCTCTGCCTTACCCCCGGGTGTCCCGTTCACTAGAAACGGCGTGAAGCTGCTAGGCAGTTTCATAGGCTCCGATGAGGCCACAGCAGACTTCATTCGTTCAAACCTTAGCTCCATGGCGGCACCTCTTGGCCTGATAGCACAGATGGAACCTCAGCTGGCTGCCCTGCTACTCTCCAGGTGTATCTCAAGACGAGTTTCTTACCTCACCCGGACCACACCCCTCATGCATTTGCCTCTGAATGAGTGGTCCGGTTGGGGCAGGCAGTTGTTTGAGACTCTGTTAACGGCATGTGGCATTAGGCATCCGCGGGGTGATGCTGAGATCTCTCGTACATGGTCCCAAGCTTCGCTGCCAGTATCACTTGGGGGCCTCGGAATCACTGACCCCGCGGTCGAGGGCAGCTACAGCTACCTAGCTAGCTTTACCCAGGCACAGCAGCTGCTCTCAACCCTTCAAGATAACCAGTTAGGGCCCCTGACGGGGATACGGGTGCAGATGATGGGACCATACACAGACTCCTGCGCTCTCTACCGCTGGCTAGCTCAGTGCAAGGCAGACCTACCGAGTGATGCCGGGGAGCTACTACAGAGTGACAGGGCTGCTCCCACGGGTGTGAAGCTGCAGCAGGGGCTAGCTTTGGCAGTCCAGGGCAGAAGATATGCTAACCAGGTGGAGAGCACACGGGGCATGACCCCAAACCCCAATAGCGGCCACACGCAGCGCCTTCTCTCTTTGTCAGGGTACGGAGCCGGGGACTGGCTCCATGCAGTCCCGCTCATGCCCTCCCTGAGGCTCGACGGTCCCCACTTTGCCACAACCCTCCAGTTCAGGCTAGGACTACCATTTTCAGCCCCCGGCGCTTGTGATTGCACCAAGCAGGTTCCCATCCCAGACAAACGGCTTCCAAACCATCTGCTACGCTGCGCCACAGGAGGGGGAAGGACAAATACTCACAACGAGCTGAGGGATGAGTGCATTAGGATGGCACAGTACGCCGGGTTCATGGTGCACAAGGAAACGGCGGAGTTCTGCCCGGTCACTAGGAAGACAGCGGACCTAGCCATTCGTGATCGGTCCTCAGGGGCAGTATGGATCGGGGACGTCACCATCACTGACCCCATCAGCACGCGCGACCCCAATGCGGTGAAAGGGAGGGGGTGGGCTGCTAGGGAAGCCGCTGAAAAATAAATCTCAGACTACAGCGGCTCCCCGGCAGCCTACGTCTCATTTGTACCCCTCGTAGTCGAGACCTATGGCTGCCCATGCGCAGAGGTCCCCGCTTTCCTCAAGCTCTTGGCTCACACGGCAGCATGCAAGCTCTTCAACGCCGACCCTTCAACCTACCAGGCGGCAAAACTACTCAACCAGTTCCGCCAGAGATGGTCGGTCGCCCTTCAGCGCGCGCAGGCCGTAAGCTACATGGCCAAGTGCAACATGGCAGCAGAGGCCCAGAACCCTCTTGTCGGGGCCCCTGGCGAGGAAATGTCCCTGGGGGACTGTTTTGTGGTACTCGAACCTACTGCTGAGCTCCCTTAGGAGCTTCCAGTGGAGGGGGGGGGGGGGGGGGGGTGGGGTGGTGGTTGGTGGGTGGGCCTGTAGGTGGTTCTTAGGATCTGGTTTGCCGCTAGGCTGTTCTTTTAGTCTCTGGTATTGCCTGTTTCTATGCTGCCTCGATCGTTTGTACTCACCCGTTATATCAATACAAGGACCGCTTGAGAGAGAGAGAGAGAGAGAGAGAGAGAGAGAGAGAGAGAGAGAGAGAGAGAGAGAGAGAGAGAGAGAGAGAGAGACCTAGAGGCCTGGTCCTTAGCCTCTCCAGCCCTCTCCAGCCTAGTATAAAGGCCCTAGGAAGTGGTCCTAGAGCCTCATTATTCAGTTCCTTCTTCACTTTGCTCTCCTAACCGAGTGGCTGGCGCCGGCCGCCGAAGGCGGCCGACGCTCGACAGCGCGGCCTTTGCCCGCGCATTTGGGGCGGCAAGGGTCCACAAAAACAAGTAAGTATATTCAGGAGCACACAAGCAATGGCAAATCTTAGTGCCTAAAAGCTACGCAAACAACAATGGAGCAGGAGGAGGCAGGCACTAGAACTGATCCCCGTCAAGAACCGCCAGGAGCCCAGTCAGAGAGCGGTGCAACTCCCGCACCGCCGTAGTGCTTGCGCCGATCACATCGGCTCCAGAGCCTGCGCGCAAAATCCGCCGCAGCTCACGGACAGCTGTACCAAGCTGCCCAACACCCGCAATTACGCCCATCGCAGGTGCAGCCAGCACGGGCGCCAGTAGCTCCGCGAGCCGGTCAGCAGCATCAAGACACTCGTCCCGCTGGCGACAATCCAGCGAGCCACCACGAGCGAGAGCAGCATGAGCGTACGCCTGGATCAGGTGCACGGCCCGCAAGCCCTCAGCAAGGTGCCACAGCTGCCCAAGCGACGCCTCAGGGACCTCAACCATGCGAGGAGGTCCCGGAGACGACGGACGTTGAACAGGAGAGGCGACAACAGGCGGAGCAGGATCGGGAGCTATCTGGACAGCCGTCTGGACGCCCACCGCCTGTGTCACAATAGGGGCCTGGCCGCCAGTGGTGGCGGACTCCGCCATCGGCGACGAAGCAATAGCCACAGCAGGTGCAACAGGGTCAACGACCGCGGGCATTGAGACAGGGACCCCGGGGATAGGCAGAGCAGCAGCAGGATTGGCAACAGTAGGCAGTGCAACAGTGCTCGCAGGGGCAGCCAATGGAACAGCAGGAACTGCAGGAGCAGGAGCCTCGACAGGAAGCGGAGGGCCGGACTCGACAACAGGGGCAGACGGACCGGGCAGAGGCGACGGAGGAGCCGGGCTCGTCACGAGATGCGGGTCCGGAGGCGGAGAGACCCCAGCGGCTGAGGGAGGTGGCTTCGGGGCAGGTGGGATTGGTGGCTTCAGCGCAGCAACACCCGAGTCAGACGCAGGCGGGGACCTTTCGCTCACCGCTGACACAGTGGCAGCGTGCGTTGGCGATGGCCACGACTCGCCATCAATCACTATTGCGAGGCGGTAGGAGACAAGGAGCAGGCCGACAGGGACGAAA